TGACGAATCAAAATTTACATTGAACGGAGAGGTAAACTGACAAAACTGTATATATTGGTCAGCGGAGAATCCTCATTGGATGCGTGAGACACACACTCAGTATCCTCAAAAGTTGAATGTTTGGGCAGGTATTATAGGAGACCATATTATTGGTCCTATATTTATAAATGATAATTTGACAGCGGAAAAATATTTAAGCATGCTAAGAGACGATGTTCTTCCTTAGTTGGCTAACTTATATCCCAATCCAATAGATCCGACTCTACCGCATGAAACTGTCTGGTTCCAGCAGGACGGTGCAACACCCCATTATGCTTTAATGGTGAAAAATTACTTTAATGAAATCTTCTTCAATAAGTGGATTTGATGAAGGGGACTAGTGAGCGTCCAGCTAGGTCGCCAGATCTTACGCCTTTGGATTTTTTTGTGGGGTTATCTCAAAAACAAAGTATATGCAACACAATCAACTATCATTAAAGACCTCAAACTTCAAACAAAGTTCGGAACGAGTTTTATAGGAGACTGTGATATTGCCAACAACAAGCTGGAGAACATGTTGAGCTTTTATTTTAATGTAATCCAATCAATTACTTCGGGTATTCTATGAATTCATTGTCTTGAAGAGAATACCTAATTTCAAAATTTCACCTTGTATTCATAATAGACCCTACATGATATAGTTCGTTGAATCAGGTTGTTAAGGAGCTTTTAAAAACATGAAAATATAAAGGGTGTTTTATTTAAAATACAGATTATGCACTATGCCAGACTTGCATTGATCACCCTGTACATTCAAAATTATGTCTAAAATGCGTACATTTAAATTTAAAAGTTAAGGTATCTCAACGTTTTTTATTATTTTCTAAAATAAGAACACAAACAATTTTATTCCATAAGTGGTTTCCACACTGTATATATATATATATATTTATATATATATATATATTTATATATATATATATATATATATATATATAATATATATATATATATATATATATATATATATTAAATGGCCAACTATATGGCCTAGGAGACACATTCGTTAAACTTCCCGTGCTCGAATTGGTATCACTAAAGTGTTATGATCATTTCGGCCTATCCCAGCCATCGTCAGACACTTGGGCTGATACAAATTCAAACTCGGAAAGTAAAACGAATGTCTCCCAAACCTTTACTACCGTAAGCTAACTACACGTCCTTTTTTATGTATTTCAACGTTTCTTTTTGAACTTGTATGTAGTTTTTGCGTACATTACGAATATGCATTATTTCAATAAATAAATTGTCAAATCAACCACCTAATTTGTTTAAAAACAATTTTTTTTTATTTTTTTTATAGTATTTAAGTTAAGTTTGAATGTAAAACAGAAGTATTTGTCATTTCCTATATTTTGGGGACTAAGCCACAATTTAAGTTTATAATAAGTTTATTTTTAATGTTTCGATTTCTACTTCGGAAATCTTTCTCAGAATGCAGAACATTAATAAATTAATCAAATTTTGTTTTTGGTTACTTGGTAGAAAATTTTTCTGATAACTCTTTTGGGTGATTGATTAGTGTGAGGAAGCTCAGTAGATCTGTTATAGTAAAAATTACAAAAAAAAGTTATTGACAAAAATAACTTTATGTTAGTTAATGACAGCTTTAAACTCCACATTTTAAAATTAGTTACAATTCTACAGGGTGTTCTATAAGATGGTGGCAGACCAAACTTATTTTTTGTTTAATGAAACACCCCGTATTTTATTTTAAATTTGAAATCTGCTTCACTTCCACATCACAATAATGTAAAGATTTATTATATTATACCTGGTATTTAAAAAGTTATAAATAATATTACCTGAAAATCGTATCAATTTTAACTCCCTGTAATCCTGTATCATTAAAAAGGAGTATAGGACCATTGATCTATTGCAACCATAGTTTTTTAATAATTGTTAAAAATTATAAAACATTCGGTTTCATAATATTCGTTAAATCAACTACAGGGTAAGTCAAAATGCAAGTACATTATTTTCTTGATAATTTTAAATAGAACACACTGTATTTTAAGTCACTATCGAAAAATACTAATATCAACTTCACGTTTTATGGAATACTCCCTATACCTAAAGTTATCAATTTTCTAGATAAGTATTAATTTGGTAGATATTTTAACTTTTACCAATAATTATTGGGAGTTGGCCATGATTGATTTGTCAGAAACTGACAGTTTGACATTATTGTTTTTTAATTCAGTAACGAGATAACGACACAGAAAAGAAAACAATTTGTTTCAAATAAAATTTATAAAAAATAACCGACAGAAAATAAAAAAAAATAACAACACATAAAAAAATAAAAAACAACTGCAATTTTAACTAATCGTACTTAAGTAAGGTGTTCAAAATGACCTCCCAAAACATCTATGCATACTTGAAAGCGGCCATTGAAAGAGCTACTTACATTACTAAGCATTTGTAAAGAAATATTTTGAAATGCAATTCGGATTCAATTTTTTATATCCCTTGTTGTTGAAGGTTTTTATATACTTCGTTCTTAATGTAACCCCAAAAAAAAAACGAGTCCAGTTTATTGAATTTTGGTGACCTTGGGGGCACCCCTTAAAATCCATCTTTCACCAAACTGATCATTAAGTTCACCACGTACTAATTCGTTGTGGTACGCAGAATCACCGCCATGTAGAAACCACATTTGTTCACGTATATTAAGTGGAACCTCTTCTTATAATATCGGTAACTGATGTACGATAAAATCTAAATAAATCTTACCATTTACGTTATATTTAAACAAATATGGTCCTACTACATGGTTACCCACGGTACTTTCCCACACATTTAAAGATTATCTTGTTTGACTATGTATTACTATTTGGTATGAATTACTTGTTGAATAGTAGTGAAAGTTATTTATGCCTATTAACAGAACCGTTTCAATGGAATGCAGCTTCATCACCAAATATGATATAATCAAAAAAAAATCTCTGTTCATTAATTTTTTTTAAGGCCCATTCACAAAATACTATTCGTTTCTAAAAATTATCATTATTTAATTCTTGGTGCTTTTGAATATGATATGGGTGCATCTTGTTTTTAGATAGCATGTTTTGAACAGAGTAGTAACTAAGTTCGTGCTTATAGTTTATTCGTCTTCCGGGTTTGGACCGTGTCATTTGTGAGTGACCCAAAAGTGGGTTCATCTCGACGTTTCGCTACAATTGTATGTAGCTTCTTCAGGAGAACAAAGAAAAAGAAAACAAAAGACAGGAAGATGGGTAGTTAGCAACGGTAACTCACTTACTCAACGCAACCAGAGGCGAATACTAACTTCCAAGATGGGCATTTGGTCACAGTAACTCAACTACTCAACGCAGCCAGAGGTGAAAACCGGATTCACTCCCCGCCTCTCGACGCGTTAGTGTTCTGAGCTGTTGGACGTGAATCCCTGTCCTGGCATTTGGTTTTCACCTCTGGCTGCGTTGAGTAGTTGAGTTACTGTGACCAAATGCCCATCTTGGAAGTTAGTATTCGCCTCTGGTTGCGTTGAGTAACTGAGTTACCATTGCTAACTACCCATCTTCCTGTCTTTTGTTTTCTTTTTCTTTGTTCTCCTGAAGAAGCTACATACAATTGTAGCGAAACGTCGAGATGAACCCACTTTTGGGTCACTCACAAATGACACGGTCCAAACCCGGAAGACGAATAAACTATAATTCTGACTCTGGCCGTGGAAGCCTACGATTTCATTTAAGTTCTTGCTTATTGGAAATACTACTTATACTTGAGTGAGTGGGTTTTCTCTAACTGCCGTCAACACACTCATTTCGTTTTCCTCTGTCACACTAGTTTTTTTTTCGTTCATGTTTTTCATAATTCACTGAACCAGTGCGGTTAAATGGATGTTTCAATGTTTCAAATGTATCTTGTCTAGGTTGCCGCCTATCTGGAAACCGTTCATCATAAATTCTAGCTGATAGTAATGAATTTTTATTGCATTCCTCCAATATCCAGATCATATTTATCTATAATTTCATCAGTAGTAAAATTCATTATTGCCAATTTAAATTGAATAAATTATTGAATTGCTAAATAATAATTGTTGCTAATTTACGATGTACCCCAATACTGAATTAATAAACAATAATGTCAAACTGTCGGTTTCTGACAAATCAATCATGGTCAACTCACAATAATTATTGGTAAACGTTAAAATATCTACCAAATTAATACTTTGATGGAAAAATAAAAATATCTAGAAAACTGATAACTTTCTGTATAGGGAGTAATCTATAAAATTTGAAGTACGATATTAGTACTTTTCGATAGTGATATAAAATACAGGGTGTCCTATTTAAAATTACAAAGAAAATAATGTACTTGCATTTTGACTTACCATTGTACCATGTATTTGATTTAAAGAATATTATGAAAACGAATATGTTTTATAATTTTTTACAATTATTAAAAAACTATGGTTGCAATAGATCAATGGTCCTATATACTCCTTTTTATTTATACAGGGAGTTAAACTTGATACGATTTTCAGGTAATATTGGTTATAACTTTTTAAATACCCGGTATAACATAATAAAACTTTACATTGTTGTGATGTGGAAGTGAAGCAGATTTCAAATTTAAAATAAAATACAGGGTGTTTCATTTAAAAAACATAAGTTTGGTTTGCCACCATCTTATAGAACACCCTGTAAGATTGTAACTAATTTTAAAATGTGGAGTTTAAAGCTGTCTACAATTTTTGTCAATAACTTTTTTTTATAATTTTATATCTATAACAGATCTACTAAGCTTCCTCGCCCTAATCAATCACCCAGAAGAGTTATCAGAAAAATTTTCCAACCATATATCATATCAATATTGTCAATATGCTCAGATATGCTATCCAACAATGTTTGCCATAGATGATGCCAATATATAAATTTTTTACATGTTTGATATTAAAAGATACCTCTTCTGATCAAATTCAAAAAACTAAAAAAATGTTTTTTTATTTTAGGAGGAAAGATGATGTCGAGGTAACGAAGATAGAAAGCCTTAAAAATATAAAATCATCTTATGCTAACGGTATTGTCACATTGACAGTGTCAGAGTCAAAAGAAGAATTTGCTGGTATCTATAAGTGTGTTGCAAATCCAGGCAAGCCAGACGAAGTATATGCTGAAATTAGAGTGACAAGTAAGTTAAAAAAATTTATATTTTTTCAATTTTCAATCCAGATATCTTTTGGCACGCCATGCTAGGCGATAATCAGAATATTATAAAATGAAGAAATGTATGAAAAAATCTGTAACCCTCAAGTTAAAATGAGTCACCCTGAATGGTTCAATCAATATTGAGACTCTTCCCGGGATCAACCACTAACTCAGTACACCAACCCTTATGTAAAAGTATTTACGACAAATATTACAGTGGAAAACCTCCTCATTTGAAAAGCCTTTCGATTCAATATATCCAAACATCTAATAAAAATGTCCTAAAATATATCCTTTCGATATGCTCCAATCATCTTAATCTTTGTTATTTGATGATCCCTAAGATATTCGGTTCTATATATATATATATATATATATATATATATATATATATATATATATATATATATATCCTCCTCAGTCCTAATCCCTCTTGGGATGTGGTGACACCATCCGGCCTTCACAGTTTTTTAGGATTTCCCTCCATCCTTCTCTGTCCTGGGCTAGTTGTTCTGCTTCATGTAACCCTTGGTATATATATATATATATATATATATATATATATATATATATATATATATTATATATATATATATATATATATGTTCGGAAAGATTTCCTCCGCAGTTAGTATAATGAAACCTAGAGCTAAGATTAATACTATTACAAAAATTAATATTAAACTCACCAGTCTTCCGGATTGAACCGCCTCGATATCCATTTTGCCGAGCTTTCGACATCCTCTCTAATGTCTTCCTCAGGGCTTCCGAGGTCTCAGTCTCCCGAGCCCCCAGACACTACTACACTGTTCACTGATCACTGTAGTAGTGACAGTGATACGGATCGTACTAGTCAGTATAACTTTTAGTATTAGTCAATATATTCCGTTTTCAGAATATTTTGATTTGAAAATTCTTAGTAATTAAACAAAACTCACAAGAAGAAAATTGAATTAATGACTAAGAACATAAAATAAAATTCAATTACAGTAAGTGTTCAAAATGTCCTCCGGTTTCGCGAATACACAAGTCTATTCTTTTTTCTAAAGATTTCATTAACCTCCTAAACGTTAGGGGATCAGCTATGATGTCATTAAATTGACGTTGAATTCTTCCTTCCAATTCTTGTGAATTCTCTGTAGTATAGATTTTTTCCTTAATATACGACCAAACTGCGTAGTCCAAAGGGTTAAAATCGCATGACCGAGGAGGACAATGAATCGAAGCTTCTGCACCTCTACCAATCCATCGATTCGGAAAATGATTACTCAACCAATTACGACACCTTCTATCAAAGTGTGGTGGAGCTCCATCGTGCATAAAAAATAAAGATCTTCGCTAGTTTAGCGTTAAATCTTCTAATAGCTCGAATAAGGAATTGTTTAATAAATCAAGATACATATCACCATTTAAATTTCCAGGTAGAATATGATAACCTATTAATTTGTTACCTAAAGTTGCTGCCCAAACATTAACTTTATGAAATGAGTGTTGGTAATGTGATACCCTTTTAACTCATGGATTCTCATCACACCAGTAGTGTGCATTATGGGAGTTAAACATACCTTGTCGCGTAAAGATGGCCTCGTCCGTAAAAAGAATGCATTTTAAAAAATTTGGATTGTGGGCTGCCCTTTGTTGCAATGTTTCAGAAAAATCCCCTCTAACCGTAGATCATCTGGCAAGAGCTCTTGGACTTGTCTGTAATGATAAGGATGTGTCAGTATCCGCCAAGTACTTGAATTCTTAGTATTTGTTTTTCTTGCTATATTCCTTACGCTAATTGTTGGATATTGATCAAGTAAATTTAAAATATTATTTTCTTTATTAATTGTTCTTGTTGTTCTTGGTCTACCAGAATTTATTTTATTTGGTCTCACATTCCCAGTTTCTCGACAACGTCGTTCAACGGCTCTAAATGTTTTTTACTTGGTAAGTTTCTTCTAGGAAACTTTTCTGCATAACGTGCCACAGCTGCACTAGAACATCCTAAACATTCGCTAAGGTTAATAACATGTCAGTGTATTCAACATTTGAGTACATTTTGATTTGATTTTACAAATAATAAGGTTTCAAAACCCTATTTATTGTTGATTTATCGTCATAACAATCAATAAATGTCAGATTTCCATGGCACACTTGGAGAAAATAGAGGTATACCTATTAGAACTTTATCATTACTACCAGCATCAATTGGGGCGGTGAAAGGAAAAGTGGTGTAAGTCATCTGAGCATCATTTTGAGATATAAAAGGTTTTACTAGAAACATTGTAATTAAATCTGTGGAACATTTATAAACATGCTTGTGATATTTTTTTATTTACTAAGAACATTTTTAACTCTATTAACATTTTTGTAAAAATAAAACTATGTTAAGGGTAGTTTTTAAGGGATGAAATGACTTACACCACTTTTCCTTTAAGAGTTTAAAGAGAATGTAAAGAAAGCAAAACATGTTTATTGTTTTTACATTAGAAAATCAAATATAAATTCACTAGTTTATTAATCATTGTTTTCTTCGACATCATGAAGTGGTCCAGCTTCGTCATTGATTTCATCAGATGATATAAGATTTCTAAAATAAGAATGGTGGACTGGAGGAATGTATGGTAGTAAATCACACATATCCCGTTTTTTAGCTGGCATTACTGGTCGAGGTGCTGTGTACAGGCAATCCAGTTGAAGATTTTTCAACAATGTTCGTCTTCCCTTCTGCTTGCTTTGAAGGATATTAATTTGTGAAAAGGAAAAATTTTCATTTAATGTTTCTTTATAGAACAGTGAAAATGGCTCATCTTTGCTGACTCTATTCCACTGCATTTTTAACCATGACACTGGTTGGTTATCGGTATTGGATTTTCTTTTTGAAATTGATTTAGTGAGATTTTTCAGATCTTTAACGTCTTCTCATAAAGCATTTTTGTGAAAATAAAGGCTTTTTTCTTTCTACATCGAACTATGACTGAAAACCAATCTTCAGGCACATAAATCAGTTTGCCTTTAGAGTGAGTTTCAATTAAACCAAAGTCGGAGTTGTTTGGTAAGAAAGAGTGTCCGCTTATCATAAACTTGTGATCAATTATTTCGATAGTATTGTTTTCACTTTGAACTAATCGTAACAAGGCCAAGGCAAAATTCCAGTTTCTATTTTGGCCGATGCAGCTGTCACTGTACAATACAACATGCTTTGAATTTGTTGCACGTAATTCTATGTGCTTTGTGACACAGGCACTGATTTCCTGAGATCCTCTCGAAGCTGTTGTTTCATCCCATCCATACATGTAGGATAAGCCAGATGATAGCTCATGGCAGCCCAAATTGTAAATGTACATATTACGTTTATAGTATGCGATAGATGTGATTAGTTTTGGGAAAGGTAGGGAGGGCTTTCTCTAAGTCAAAAGTGAGTTCGTGCTCAACTTCAATCTATTTTATCTCATTAGGATCTGTTGTTGCAGCTTTTTTTAATTTGTAAGCATCACACTTAGAGCACGTATCTTTTTGTGGTACATGAAAATGAAGGTTGTACTCAATATTGAATGTACGGCGATAAATATCACTGGAAACGGGGACAGTAACTTGTTCCTGACAGTACTCACTGTACAAACGATACAGCAGGGTAACATTACGGTCAGAAGATAGATACCTACGATTGGGATTCTTATTCCTTGTGTAGTGCGATTAGTAAGATGGAAAATTTTGAATATGTTTCCGGACACAGTTCATACGTTCTCCAGATATTTTATTAGTTGGTATACCATGGCCTCGATTATCTGAACCAGGTGGAACCCCTTGTTTTATTTTATTAATGGCCCGTAACCGATCAGATATCTGAAAGGTTCCAAGAAAGTATTTTTTACATACTTTCGTGGTTTCGCCTTGTTTTTGAATGGAATATTGGTTAAACACTGTCTTACCAGGTCGTGACTGATCCCTAGGACGTTTTACTTCAGGTTTATTTTGTTTGATCAAGCCACAAATAAAAGCATTCTGTGCTGTAAATGATTTCAATTTCCAGAATGAATCAAATGCTTTTTTCTGTCTTCACATGACATAGTTTCAAAACATTTTTTATCGCAAAAACAGTTGTTGTTTAAAAAAGTTTTACCTGCCACTACTTTTCCTTTTGTTGTCTAATACTCACAACCTGAGTTACGAAGTCGCTTTATTTTTTCTTTTTTATTTTCATGCCTCTGTCGTTTTCGTGCTCTCTTGGGTTGTTAAACTTCTACTTCTCTAATATTTTCGCTTTCATGGTCTTGCAGAGGGACTTCCTCATTTGATTCACAGTCTGAAACAAACCAACTTTATTAAAATAACACCCAAAAACGTTGTTCTATTCGAGTTTATTTATCTATACGAGTTTATTTATTGTTAGTGTAGAGAATTCAACATTTTGAGGTTAGCTTTTATTTTATACAAATAAATATAGTACACAAGTTTAACTTACCAATACTTTCTTGTTGAGAATCAGAAGGTACCAACTCCTTATCTCCTGAGTAAGCGGAAATACTAGGCTCAACACTCACATCACTTAAACTGTCGCTATCCATTGTATTGAAAAATCACAAGTACAAAATACTAAACAACTGTCATAGGAATGACGGAATAGTGGTGTAAGTCTGACTTGCACCACTATTTCCTCTACTACAACACAGATTTTGTTTGACTGTCAAGTTTGTGCTGCTATCTGTGAGCAAATGGAAGACTTATGACTTACACCACTGTTGCGTCTGATAGATTTAAATATGGAGATTTTGAATATGCAATTATCTCTATTCTATAAAAAAAGTGACTTACACCACTTTTCCTTTCACCGCCTCAATTATTACTTCAGAATTTTCAAATCAAAATATTCTGAAAACGGTACACAGTATCGAGTTTTACCAAGAGTACCTTTTTCGTGTAAAATTGAATGATGTTTAAGTTTACTTGAAATTTTGATTAATAATTATACCTTTAAAAAAATTATATTGACTAATACTTAGTACGATCCGTGTAACTAGCGCCCTCTATGAGAATCAGATATAAAATCAAATTCATGGGATGTATCAGCTTCCAAAACATATTCGTATAAAATTTCATTACAATGTTGCCAGTAGTTTCGGCAAAATCGTAAAAAATGCGTAAATTTTTTTTATCTTCAACGCCCTGTATCTTGAAAAAGGATGGCGTTACAAAAATTTTTTACTAAGCAAACCAAAATTATTTTTCAGTTTTTTACCTACCTTAGAGACGGGTTATCTTTTTTTGAAACACTCTGTATATATTCTTTATATATATATATATTATATATATATATATATATATATATATATATAAATTCCTGCTTTAGCACCTCTAGATACATTTATACTTTATATTAACAACGATTGCCATCTGTAATTTTTGCTTGGATTTCTTCCTTTGAATTTGGTCTCCAGGCGAATTCTAAATACTGGAATCTTTCTACTTCTTCGAATTTATATGTTTTTACTTCTGTGGTTATTGTCAGACACTTTACTTGTATGTATTCTCGTTCTATCCATTCCATATATTTGGTCTTTTCTTCGTTTATGTATATCCATTTCTTTTTCATCTTTATTTCTAATCTTTTTATTATTTCTTTTAATTCTTGTTTGACATTGGTATTTGCTTTGATATATAAGTCTTAATTTGTTCGGCATTTCGGCTTCTATAAGAAGTATTCACTTCTGTCGGTACTTCCTAAGTGTCACGCGGCATGATAAGTTAATGAGAGAGTGTAGGTGGCAATTGAGTGGATTTCATGTCGCATGAGACGAGCAAAATCACTAGTTAGAATATAAAACTTGGTTGTTTTATATCATAAACACAGTTTTGATTACTGTGTTAGCATTTATATTTTATATATGTAGTTTATTTGGTACCAAAATCGTGTAAATCCAAATTTTTATTACAGGACAAGTGCTTGTCAAAGTACCCGCAAATATCAACGTAGTCGAAGAAGAGAAGTTGAGAATACAGTGCAAAGTTTTAGGTGACGCAAAGTTATCATGGAAGTTCAGTAAGTATATTAGTTAATGACATGATTTTTCTCTCAATTAGTTTAGGAAAAAAATTTCTTGAAACTTACCAACATAAAATCAATTAAAGAATATAAAAAGTCGGCTTAATAAATCGGTTGACTGCTAAGCACCCTTCGATGTGTGTAGATCACGAGGTTCATGGTTCGAACGCGGTTAGTCAGAAATTTCAATTTCAAACGTATCAGTCCAAATCTTAAGTAAATCAGCGACTTTAAATTGGTACTACCGAGTATATCAAATTGGCCGATGGATAAGTGTTCGGTGAGATATATGGGTCCATTTCAGCGAGACAGCTTTTTTCTGTATGTCCTGGTACTCATACAGATTTAACTTAATTCTTTTATACGAAGAAGGTTGCGTTTCGATTTAATTTGAGTCTCTTACCACTCCCTGACACGTGTTTCTGGGTCTACCTGTCATCAGAAGGAATTTGTAAGAAGACTCAAACCAAATCAAAACGCACCGATTACTCTGGCAATTACATGAAAATAACTACCAGAGTATGCAACTAGAGACCTCTCTAGTGAGGAAAGATGAAGATACGTCGACAGCAATCAAGCCATTCAGAGCGGTACTGAGAATAAATATATTCTACTATGCACCAACAATTTACCCATATAAATTACCATCAATTTTTGTACTCATTGCGTCGAGTAGGGACGATAAATATACGAAGAAGTTATATATATATATATATATATATATATATATATATATATATATATAATATATATATATATATAAGAATTAATATACGATTATATTAATTCTTTTAATATAATTAAGGTGCCTAATATTACTTATTTATTGTCAGATTTGGAGCTCTTATTTATTTATTACCAAGTGTGTTGACATCTTTAATCCGGAAGTTGGTGATCAATATATCAGCCGCATTTGCTTGGGGTTTTTGTCCGGAGGAGTGATAACTGTATTTTATTTTCCTATTGAAACGTTAGGATGTAATGAGGGCTTTATTGATATAGGGCTTTTTCCCAACAAGGAAAGTTATTTTGTCTCTTGTTTTTCTTCATCCTCAAAATCAGAAGTATATGCTGCTGGCTTTTGTAAATCGTCTATGAGATCATAGATATATCTACATACTGCATTAAATTCGCCATTGTCCAATCTGTTTTTAGGGCTATATAATCTCCAATGTTTAGTTCGGATGTTTTAAAAAGCCCTAACACAATAATTGAAAAGATTTTTTACGGATCTCCTAGTACTATTCTAACAGGTTCATTGTCGTATCGGTGACATAGGCCGAACATACACATTCCTCACTCGTCATGGCGGTAGCTACACTCAGTTATGACCGCCGCTTTTTGCAATTTGCCTAATAAAAAATCAAAATTTATTCATTCTTGTATATATAATATCTAAATGGAATTCACACAAGTATACCTTTGAAAATACCAGAGGACAAAGATCTATTAGCTACTATATTCCTTCAAATAGAGAACTACTCTCTTCCCAAATTTTGGATGTAAGGGCACGAACAAAGGCAGAGATGGGAAGCGATTATATGCTAGTATTCTGCAAAATCCGAATGAAAACAAATATTATGTAGGGTTAGAAAATGGAAATCTGAATGGAAAAAAATATATCATAAATCGTTATTTATGGGTTTAAATTTAAAAATTGTGTTTTTTTAGAATGGGTTTAATACTTTCAGGCATATTTATCACATCAGATACTGACTCCGTAATAAACGATGCACATAGGGGTATTTGAACGATTTAGGCGGCCAAAATTATTTTTTATATAGTGTATTGTATTTTAAAAAATGTTACTAAGCTGAACGGATAGTTTTTATTAAAAAAAATTATTAACAAAAAATACTTTATTTTAATACTTTTGTTATTATTTTGAAATCAAAATATTAACAATATTTCTAATCCGATCAAACTTACTATCGTAAAGTATATGTTATGATTGCTGTTAATAACATAGTAATTAAACAAAAAATTGTTTAAAATCCTTTATAAAAGGTATATAAAAATTATTTTTATATACCTTTTATAAAGGATTTTAAACAATTTTTTGTGATATATGGTATACAGCCAGCTACAGGAACTTTCCTCGTGGAAGTAATTAAACACTTATGGGAATACCTTTGTCCAGCAGCGGGTGCAAATATACTGAAGAAGAACAATTATTCAGAATCGCTATTATCGCTTTCACGATCATCTAAAGGCACATTTTCTCCTTCGCTTCCGGAAGAGTATCCAGCCGGGTTGGGATCGGTAGGTAGCAGCATTTGCAATGTTTCAGATAAGAAACTACTTTTCTTTCCTTTTTTATTTGCCTCCTACAACTCATCTAAGGGTCCGAACTCAAAAGTAGGCGATTGAAAATATCCCTGTTGCAGCTTTCTCTTGAAAATGTCCGTGCGAAATATTGGCGATAAGCCATAGCCATAAGCCAGTTTTCATAGTCGTAGGTAGAGGGGACTTTCAAATAAAAAAAAATTAAAATTTGTTTTTCTTCAAAATTTTTAATGGAAACACCTCTTTATTGTAAATTATAATCGAACTGGAATAAATTCGTAACAAAATGGAGCAAACCGCATGTTAATAGCTTTTGTTGAACTCGAGATATGAATAAAAACTCATAAACATAAGTAAGTATAGTATTGACACACCCTGTATTATAAATTACATTAAAAAATAAGTCAGAAGGTATTTTCAAATTTTTTATAGCAGAAGAATCTTAATGTTGATACCTATTTTGTAAAAAATAGTTTTTTCGAAACTAAGTAGGCTACGACAATGAATTTGATTGTTCATATTGTTTATTTATTGACAGCAGTCAAAACATTGTTAAGAAGTGCTATATTATAATTCAAATTAAAGATTGCACTTTTTTCAATAGATATTAATATTGGTAATATTAGTAATTAATTATCAGTACAAATAATTCGTGATGAGTAGGTATATCAAATTGTATGATATGATTGGAGTTTATTTCGAATGTCACCAAAATGCCTCTATTGCCTCACGTATATATTTTGTAAGATATCGTGACAGGAGACATTATGGCAAAGAAGTATTTGAAAGAAGGGCAAAAAGATTAAGAGAAACTGGTAGTTTTTCTCGTCCTTGTTTTAAACGACGTAGTAGAGTTATGACCGAAGATAATTCAATCAATGTTCTTGCTTTAATTCAACAGAATCCACATATAAGTAGTCCGAAATCGCTACTTCTTTGCCACAATATCTCCTGCCAGGATATCTTACAGAATATATACGTGAGGCAATAGCGCCATTTTGGTGATATTCGAAATAAACTCCAATCATATCATACAATTTGATATACTCATCACGAATTATTAGTACTGATAATTAATTACTAATATTACCAATATTAATATCTATTGAAAAAAATGCAATTTTCAATTCGAATTATAATACATATAACACTTCTTAACAATATTTTGACTGCTGTCAATAAATAAACAATATGAACTCCCTGTCAAATTCATTGTCGTAGCCTACTTAGTTTCGAAAAAACAATTTTTTAATCATATGAAATAACAATGGTCAAAATAGGTATCAACATTAAGAGTTTTCTGCTATAAAAAATTTTGAAAGTACCTACTGACTTATTTTTTAATTTATTTTATAATACAGGGTGTGTCAATACTATACTTACTTATGTTTATGCGTTTTTATTCATATCTCCAGTTCGATAAAAGCTATTAACATGCGGTTTGCGCCATTTTGTTACGAATTTAATCCAGTTCCATTATAATTTACAATAAATAGGTGTTTCCATAAAAAATTTTGAAGAAAAACAAATTTTAATTTTTTCTATTCGAAAGTACCCTCTACCTACGACAATTAAAACTAAATGCAATTATTTTATAGTAGATGTAAATTAATTTATCCATACTCTTTCTAATGACACTAATTTTGTTAAAATCGGTTGATCCAAACCAAAGTTATAGGTATTTATCCACAAATACTTTCCCACTCTCCCCCACCCCTTATTTGAAAATATAAAAAAAAGTACTTGAACAACTTTGTGCAGAATTTATGCCTCTTTCTAGTTTACTTATTTAACACTTGGTATAATTGGACATATTTCCCAAAAAACTGGTTTTCAAAATTTTCTTCGCAGGTTACGCCCCCTAGCGGTTAATCCAGAATCTTGAAAGTTATTTCCAGCGATTTCTCTTGGCCACTTTTACTAAGGATTTTTTTCTCCTAAAGTTATAACATGAATAGTTTCTGATATATAGCCGAGAGATCGGCTTATTGGACCACCCGGTACAATCTCACTTGTGCGATTTACTGGACTCTCCTTTTATGTATTTTGGCCATATTTAGATAAATTTATGTTGCCGATAAACTGAAGAATTTCAAGACTGAACAGTATCATAAGTTTATACATTCTGTTAAAAATATACCACCGCTTATTTTAGACAGCTATATAAAACAGATTATTGATCAAAATTTCATTTGGTAAATACGTTTGCAGATGTGTTATAACATTTACAATAGTGTTACATTTTTTTTGAAATGATTAAAAATTATTATTTATTACTGCACCGCAATGTTAAAATGATTTTTTTTGTGTAGATAATCAAACCTACAACATTTCTGAAGGCCGCGTTACTCTTGAGAATTACACCGAGGATGGTAAAGTCGTGATAAATGGAATGTTTATAGTAGAAGCCATAACAAAGGATGACCGAGGAATAGCCACTTGCATAGGAGAGGATGTCGCTAATAACAAATCAACCCAATCTGAATGTATGGTTAGGATTAAAGGTGAGTACCTTTGGTTTCAAATTGAAAATCAAATCTTAAATATACATTTATATATACGGGTACGGAAAAATGTTATGGTGGATATTACAAAATTAGCGAGATATCTACAAATATGAGCAACATTATGTTTTCACCTTAATAGACAAAGCTTACAGTCGTATTTCCCCCTAGTTTCTCCGCCACCTTGTGAATGAACGCCTACCATAGCATTACACCGCACGATAAAACCGATTGTCTCTGATCCAATTATTCTTGGAGCGGGCGACCAACTTGGACCAACTGAGACAAAGAAAAGATAATCGAACTTAGCCAAAACATCTCAGCAAATTAACTGAACGCCATAAGAAAGGAGTTGTATAATAGATTTGGGTTCTGTTTGACACAAGGTGGTGGGCTGTTTGAACATTTAATTCACTAAGAATTTTATTTAGGTTATAATTTCCAAGTTTTTGGAATTATTTTGAATTTAATCAGTAGCGTTGGAATATTTTTTTTATTTTTATAGAAATAATTTTATTTTGATACCTACTACTGTCAACTAATCTAAACAAAAATATACTTTCAAAGATAGAATTCGGAAAATATCTTGTTTTAATACTTGATCTTATTATATATAATCTTATTTTTAATTAAGACGTAATTTTTCGCCCATTTTAATATTAATTCAGAAAATACTCCTAACGGTCATTTCTCCTACGCAAGAAAAAGGCAACGAGCGACGATGCCAATTTGCTTATTTTTCTTGTGGCATCTTAACACAGTTTACTATTTTTATTGGGAATAAGCCACAATTTACCACAAGTTTATTGGGACGTTTCGATTTTCACTTCAGAAATAGTCTTCTTAAAATACAAAACATGTCGTTAGTCAACAACATATCGAGGATACATCATTTATAGTTTAAAATAAAATACATATAAAATCAGAGTTTGATGTTAATATTTAGAGCAGGGGTTCCCAAACTGGGGGGCGTGAGGGCATGTCAGGGGGCGCGAGACAAGTCGAATTAAATTAAATTTAGGTAGTCTTTCTAAAATTCTAAATTGATCATGATGTTTAGCAAATTAAAACAAACCACTGTAACATCTGACTTTACACATAAATTTGAAATCGAATGCTTGAAAGAATGGAATGTGAGCCGTTCAATGCGGTAATAGCTAGCATTTGACAACTTAGCGTTTCCGACCACTGCCTCCATCCACCAGACGCAGGCCAGCTAACCGCAGCTAATCAATTCTGACATTTGTGACTCAGTGTTTGAGATACTTCGGCCTAGCCTGTACGTATTTTTGCATTATAAAAGCTTACGTGTTGTAAAAATTTTAATCGTTGTAGTTTACTTTCATTGATTGCGTTGATTTGAATGATAGAAGGTATTGTAGTCAAGATGAGCTCAGCTAAGAAACGCAAATATAATGATGATTATATCAAATATGGGTTTATTTGTATGCGAAAAGATCATGTCGAACATCGTCACAGTGTAATTTGCTATGAAGTATTAAGCAATAATGAAATGAGACCTAATCGTCTAGAAAGACGTTTGTGATCGAAACATAACTCTTTTAGGGACAAACCAAAGGAATTTTTTGCTACAAAATCTGAAAATTTGAAACGCATCAAGTTGGATAGTATTGGTTCTAGGTATTCGGCTCAGTCGTCTGAAAAAGTGTTTGAAGCTTCATATGAGCTGTCACTTCTGATTGCTAAAGAAAAGAAGAGCCATATTATTGGAAAGTCGCTTGTTAAACCGTGTTTGTTAAAGGCAGCTGATATTTTTAGAACGCAGAGTAAACAAAAGTTATCTCAAATAAATCTTTCTGACAATACTGTGAAACGTCGCATTGATGATATGGCCGAAGACATACAAAACCAGGTAGTTGATGCAGTAAAACAATCGCCATTTTTTGCTATTCAGCTAGACGAGAGTACAGACATAGCACAATATTCTCAGTTAATTGTTTATGTTCGGTATATTGAAAACCAAAAAATGAAAGACGAGCTACTCTTTTCTACAGAGTTGGAGACCACGACAGAAGCTATTGATGTTATGAAAGCAATGTCAGACTTTTTTGACAAACATGAACTCTCTTGGCAAAAACTGATCAATGTATGTACGGATAACGCGCCTTCAATGCTTGGTTCTCAGGATTTGTACAATTAGTAAGAGAGAAAAATGCTGATGTGACTGGGATACATTGTGTTATACATCGACAAGTCTTGGCAGCAAAACTCTTTCAACTGAACTGAATACTGCATTAAAGTTGCGTATTAAAGTAGTGAATTACATAAAAAACAAAGCGTTGAATACTCGACTGTTTAAAACTCTTTGTGAAGATTTAGGGAGTGATCAGAAAATCAGCTATTTCATACAGAAGTACGACGGCTCTTAAAGGGAAACATGTTGGCAAGATTTCACATCTTGTTGGAACAGCAAGAGCAAAATGAACTAAGCGTAGCCTTCAAACATTGTACCCAAGTAATATTGGCTTATTTGTCAGACATATTTGACTGGTTGAACAGCCTTAACCTAACTATTGTTACTCATCGTGATTCGATCAAGATATATATTGAGAAATTGCAACTTTGGAAGCGTAAAATATCAGCAAACCCCTGCAATCATTCGAGTTTCCCTAAAGTAGAGTCAATCTCAGAAGAAACACGCTTCAAGGACATTTATGAAGAACCTTTATTTATTTGGAGAGCCTAATTGAAGAGTTCCAGAAATACTTTCCACTTGTGATGATAGTATTTTCAAAATGTTAATTGATCCATTCCATGTCAACATAGACTCCCTGCCTGAATCACTTGAAGAAGATACTTTGCAAATAAAACATGATTCCTCTGCCAAATAGAAATTTGATATAATCAACAAACCTTCATTTTGGTTAAAATATTTGAAAGTGTTATCCTAATTTATCACGGGAAGCTCTTCGTTTATATTTGCCTTTTTCAAGCACCTATTTGTACGAAAAAGCATTTTTAACACTTGTGGCAATTAAAACAGTAAAGTCGTCTACTTTAAAATGTATAATATATGTCGGAATTGTCAGTATGAATGAGTCAGATAAAATTAAACTATTGGAAGAATTTTTTACCAAACAACAACAAAATTGGTTTAATTTAATAATGATTTGTAATAGTGGAAACTGAAACGTCTAAATTAATTTTAAAACAAAATTGTGACTTATTCCCATCCAAAACGGTAAATTGCATTAAGAGGTTGTAGTGCCTTAATTTCAATATTTTATACATATTTGAATCCAAGATTTTTTTTGAAAACCTGTTTAAATATAAATTTATTTATTACATTAGTACATTATAGTACAACATTTCAAGAGTATTATCTGAAATTTATTTTGGTACAAAAATTTTAAAAATTATGAAAATGACTATTTTTCAAGATAAAAAAAATGACTGCGGTGTTCATCGTGTATATATATACTAACGGGACGGAAGATTACAGCGAAACGGTAAAAGATTTTGAAAAAAATTTAAATGTATAGTATGTAGGTTGATAAAGGCTACATTTTAAAATTATTCTAAAATATACAGGGTGTTGCAATAAAGCGAGGCGTTTCAAAGTTATATTTTTCTTATGGAACACCCTGTATTTTATTGGATTTTCCAATTGTCGGCAAAAAATAAGGTATAGTTTCATAAGACTTCCCCATACCTATGTACAGAGTGTTCTGAGTTTCCAAATCTGTTTGTAAATTTTCTGTTAAGGTATTTCCAAAATTACGTGAGAAATGAGCAGGAGCTCCGTCCAACTGGAAGCCGCATTTTTGTTCGTAGACTAAGTGGAAGGTTCTCAAGCAGTGTCCAAAAATCTTGTTTTAAAACATTTTGGAAATTTGTCCCATTGAGATGTTCGTCAAAAAAATACGGGCCGATAACGTACTCGGCCATAATGCCGCCCCAAACATTAACACTCCATCGGTGTTGGCGATAATAATGAAAAGTATGTCTATTTACTAGACCATTATTATGAAAAGTCGATTCGTCTGTAAATAATACAATTCTAAAAAAATCAGGATCTTCTCCAACTTAATCTAAAGTCCATAAACAAAAATTTAAACGGTTACCATAATCTTGTTCTATCAAATGCTGGTGAAGTCGAATGTGATACGGATGAAATTGGATGACTTAAGTATTCTACATACACTAGTTTGACTAATTTCTAATTCACCCGAAATTTTTCTTATCACCCGTACTAATATTTGGGTTTTTCGTAACAGAAAGCAGAACATTAAGTTCGTTAACGCTGGCGCTGTCACCAATGACTGGTTTATTTTTATTTACCTTTTCGTATGCAACATTACCAGTAGCACGGAATCTATTAAGCAATCTCCTAAAAACTTCCTTGTGTGGGTGTCTTCTATCGGAATACTTTTGAGCATAAACTTTAGAAGCTAAGAGACAATTTTCCAAACATTATCCAATGGAAAGTACCATGTCAACTCTTTCATGGATAGCGCAATTCTTCATTTTTAGGAACAATGAAAGTATTATAGTATAGAAATATTACACACGTATGTTTATATTTTGACAATTACCACACCGTAATGTCAGAAAATGACAATGTCATATAATGACACATTAACTAACTATATATATATATATATATATATATATATATATATTATATATATATATATATATATATATATATATATATATATATATATATTAATCAATATAGCGATGAAGAGTTTAAATAATTGTAAATTACGCAAAAACTATGAGACTTAAGTATAGGACATCTTTATACCGTTCAAAAGAGGAAACTTTTTTTAGTATTACGTGTTTGGGACTTTTCATTTTGTATAATATAGGATTTTTAGGTCAGTCTTGCAACAGTGTGTAGTTGCAACAAAGAATATAGACGCTTATATAATATAGAATATATATGTATATATATATATATATATATATAATATATATATATATTATATATATATATATATATATATATATATATAATATAGAATATAGAAGCGTCTATATTCTTTGGTTGCAACCTGTAAGACTAATGGACTTACCCGAGTGAAATGATGTGAATGGACTTAAAGAAAACCTACGTTAAGAAAAGTTAAAGTTCTTAATATCCATGGTGTTTCATTTAAAATAAGCCTCATATTAGATATTGAATAATCCAAAATTGAAACTAAGTTTTTAACATCCTGTAAATAAATGTTTCATAATCAATAATTGAATAAATTTAACCATTAACCAACTATTTCGCTCTAAGAGAAAATTTGTTTTATTAAAATTCTTTCTGATACGTTGTGCATCAGCAAGTAAAAGTATAAAGTATACACATTTGTTTAAAACTACATTGGTTTCATTTATAACAAATATGTCAAAATGATGGGTTTAAAAATCGATAGTAACAACTACTAAAATATTTTGAAATCGAAAATTTTAAATTACGCAAAATCTATCACTCCTAGTTATAGGTCATCCATATACCATATTATACCATACATTCGAAAGTGGAAAATTTTTTTAATATAATAATTCATTAATATACAGGGTATTCTATTTAAAATAAGCCTTATATTACACATTGAGTAATCCAATAACGGAACTCTAAATTTTGAACACCTGTAAATAAATGTTTAATAATTAATCATGAAATACATTTAACCAATATCCAACTATTTATAGGTATAACCAATTTTATTAGAATTTCTTAAATAAGTTAGGAATGAGTCTTCGTTTAAAGCTTTACATTTTAAGAATATTCCACATAACTCAGAACACTCTGTACATAGGTATAGGGAAGTCTTATGAAACTATAGTTACCTAATTTTTTGATGACAGAAACTGTAATAAAATATAGGGTGTTCCATAAGAAAAAATATAACTTTGATACGCCGCACTTTATTGGGACGCCCTGTATATTTCAAAATAGTTTCATATAACCACATATATATATATATATATATATATATATATATATATATTATATATATAAACACATATATATATAAACACATAATATATATATAAACACATATATAAACACTCACTCATCTCAACCACTTACCTCACTCACTCACTCACCCAACTTATTCACTCAACTCGCTCCTAAATGTAACTGGATACTCATGAAGAGTATACTATCGAATAAAAAAACTTAAAAAAATACGTCACCCCCTTAAGGTCCCCAAGAAAATAACTTCAGAACAATAATAAACGTATTTTAAAATAAAATTGGTTAATTCTCAATAAATTTAGTAAAATAAAAATCGTAGATTTTATTATTGTCAGAGTGGTTCTTATCACTGAAAACTGTTAATCTACTCTAAACAGCTTTTAGGTGCCTTTCTTTTCGTGCATTTAACGATTATACATTTTGATTACTTGCCATATTTATTACAATAAAGAGAATCCTTGTATTGTTTTTTTTTTTGTTACTTTCACTATATATATTTAATAGTTGCCATTTTTTTATTTACAGATAAATATGCCGCCCTTTGGCCTTTCATAGGAATATGCGCCGAAGTTATCATTTTATGTGCCATTATTATAGTATATGAGAAAAAGCGTAATAAGACCGAACTCGAAGAAAGTGATACAGACCAAAGTCCAGACCAGTAAGTAGTTTCATAGCATTTGGTAGAATTAGAATATATATTTGATAAATAGTTCAATATAGAGTTTGCAAACCCGTAAATTACAATTATACTGTTGGTTTAGTCAAAGTCTGCCACTTGTAAATAGAGACCCAATGAAAAAAAATTAGGGCACACCTTAGAATAAGCCTTCCTTCCTATTTTATTCTGACCCGCGAAACTTCAATTTAGCTTATTTATCCTTTTGGATCTTGACCGATGACACCCCAGTCTATAAGATGGATTTTAGTGTGTCAGTAGCTTATGGTACATACATTTTGTTTGGTAAATTGAATACTTGGATAAAGGCCAATGTCAGGCGATCATTATTGTCTAGGCCAGATATTTTTAGGTTTTAAATTAAATTTTAGGTGTGTGCAATATTTTTTTGTTATATTAACATTCTAATTTACTGTTTATCTGCAAAATATTTATCTTGTCTAGCATGCTTATTCTATAGATTAGTTTACATCGGGAATAAATAATGGAATTTTACATATAAACATATACAGAGTAATTAACCAGTGTCAGATCGAATCGGCAGAGATAGAAAATAACCTTTATACAAATATAATCAGTATAGCTTAACATTTTAAAATTGTTTTCAAATATACAGTACTAGCTGACTAGGCAAACTTCGTACCGCTTTAGATACATGTTCCGTTGCTCAGTTCTAATAACTTTTTTATATTAGGATTAAATGAATGAAGTTTGATATAAGTTTAAAAAGAAGCTAATTCACGTGGCGACAAATAAACCATTAGCAGAATGGGTTGTACTCGTGTCGACTATTTTCATTGAAGGACCTTGTGATATACTATATATTCCACGCAAGAGAATGAACAGAGTGGATGGTTATCTGGCCTGCACGTTAAATTTTCATCATTGAGTAGATTTCATCTCTACCGATCACTGGGGGGAAAATGGGGTTCTCAACCACCTTTTCCTTTCATTTTTTGGTTTATACAAACAGGTTGTCGACCAAGTTTATCATATTTTTCAAATAAACCGCTCTACTGTATTAGAGTAGGTATCAATACGCCTTGTTGATCTGTCACGCGTTGACCTCAAGGCATCTGTCTTTTCACGTTTGTGGCGTTTTAACACCTGTTTGCCTTTCATTTCTATGGGAGCAGTCGAGAAGCTCAGAGTGGTAACTTCATTATACTTTTAAATTACTAAAAATTTTTAATTAATCATTACAATAATGCTACAACTGCTTCAATTTATTGTTTATACAACATAATTATACAATGTCCATTGCGTAAGCTTCTTTATATCATTGACTGCTACATATCTTTTTGAGGTATCACACTTAATAACTTTTCATTGGATGTTAGGTTTTTCATATTGTTCTTTTTAGATGAACTGATGATGCTGTCAAATTGGATAGCGAAACGTTTTCAATAAATAGATGAAGTAGCCATCATCTTTGTCTTTTTTCTCCAACTTTTGACCGAAAAACCCGCCACTCTTCGAGTAATCCTTAATTTATATATATATATATATATATATATATATATAATATATATATATATATATATATATTATAGGCTTATGAGTTTCTTGGGTTTAGGTTCAATAAGTAATATTTTTGAAACTGATTTTATTTTCCATTATAATCAAAGTTTTGGCAGGAAACCCTTGCCTTTGTCAAGATTCTAAAATGTACAAGATTAGGAACGAGAAGTTTTTTTAAAATATATAAAGAATAAGTTCTTCTACAAAAACGTAAAACGGGACACTGACATTAATCAATTGACTGAAATAAAATTTATATCTGAGATTTCATGGTTTACTGTCAATAAATGTGCTGTTCTTGGCACATTTTTTGATTTCAGTATTGAATTTAGTGGTCCTACTACTCTTCTCCTCCTCATTAATCTTTTGCGTATATATTTTCCTTCTTTTCCCGTGTTCGTTATGGATACTCCTAAGTATGTATTTAAATTCTAACACTTTTTCAAAATGTAGACAGTCTATGCTCCTTTTATTTTGATATATTTGTTATCATTTGTTATTTCTTCTCTCATTTTCATATATTGCGTTTTGGTTTATTGTTAGTCCATATGTTTTCTCGTTTTCAAAAACTTTTTCTATAGGTATGTTTTTTCGTTCATCGTACATCCGCGTACGATACCCACTGTTTCTTGCTATTGAAAATACCCCTGTTTTGTGCTCATATTTGATCTTCTTACGATTTGTTCTATGTTGTTGTGTAATAAATTGAATGAATTCGTTAATGGCGGATCCCCTTGTTTTAAACCTCAATTAAGTGTAAATTGAATTAAAAACCTTTCTTCCCTTTTCTCGTCATTCCAAAGCGTCAATTTCACTAGCCTTGTGAGATTTTCTGGTATTTCTTATGTTGTCATCACCTCATATAGCGTCCTTCGGCTTATGGAGTCATATGCCTGTCATTATGGAGTCATTAAAATCGATAAATAATGCATAATGCCATCCTAAGTTTTGTTTTTAATTATTATTTTGAACTAATATTCTTCTTCTTTTTGTCTATTTTTCAATGTGCCTCCAGTAAGTTGTTCCTTCTTTTTACCAAACTGCTAATGTCAAGAGGAATATTGTTTCTTTCAGTCTTTCGCCGCCTTCCTTAAAAATCTCAGCTGAGATACCACTTTCTCCTGACGTTATTTTTTATGTCTCTGATTATTTCTTTAACTTCATTCAAAGTTGGTTGTTCCTCGCACAGCACTTATTCATCCTTTTGCCAATTATCATAACCTTCTAGTTCCTCTTATTAATCTGTATTTAGTAGGTCTTCGAAGTATCCCGCCCATCTGCTTAATGTTTCTGTTCTTTCTAATATAAGCAAGTCTTCTTGTGTTTCTACAGTACTTTGTATTATTCTGTTTAGTTTCTCTGGATTTCTTAACTTCTTGGTAGACATTTTTTTACTTCTTTGTTTATTTAGGCTTCTTCTATATTTTTCAATTGGTTTTCTAGCGGTTCTCTTTTTTTCTTCCTGCAGATTTGGATTTCTCTTCTTCCGTCTACATAGTTTTCGATCGTATTTTGGGTATTTTCTCTATCTCTTTGTAGTTTGAACCCGTTTCTTCTTGTCAAAGCATTCCTTCATTTTTTACCGAACCAGTCCCACTGATTCCGACATGGTTATTTGTAGGGTCTGCCATTCTTCTTCTATTTCCTGCTTGACTAGATTCTCTAGTTTTTTATTTATTTCTTTTTCTTGACTGTTTACTACCTGTTTCTCTTGAAAGCGCTCTAATTAGTAATTCATAATCTCTCCACATGGTTTTGGAATTATTGGTAATTCCTGTTACATTTTGTTATTATATTAGTGTATGGTTCTGTGTCCTGGGATGTATTTGCAGAACTGTTGCAATTAATATTTGACACCTTTTTTGACAATTTTTGGGACACCTATGGGTTCCTCAATCTCTCCCATCCTAGTTAACTTTGTACTGGACGATTTAGTATCTGACCGTTTGAGTCTTTTGGATTTTTAATTCCCTTTTACTAAGCGGTATGTTCATGACCTATTACTAGCCTTATCTCCAGATAAAGGCCACCTCGTCTTTGTTCAATTGGTTTGATCCTGACATACAGTTCACTGTTGAACTTGAGGACCCCACCAGTAATAGTATTTCCTTCTTAGATATGCGTGTCATCAGAATGGAAGGCAATTCTTTAACTACAAGTTGTTATAGGAAACCAATGGTCTCTAGTAGGTTTCTCAACTACCACTCTTGTCATCCTTTCAAATATAAACTAAAACTGATCAAATGGCTATAAAAAAACTTATCAAAGCTTTAAACTTTAGGCTGGATAGGCTGACATATCCGGTTAATCGAAGGGAATCCCTTCTACTGCTCAGAAACATATTGATTGAGAATTCCTACCCATCTTCCCATATTAATAAACACCTACATTCGCAGAGTTATGGTTCCTCTTTAAATGACATACCCAATTGTGACACAATTCAGAGCAATATCAAGCAATGTGACACAATTCAGAGCAATATCAAGCAATGTGACACAATTCAGAGCAAAATAGAAAATTGGTTGATAACAGCTGACACAAATTTAAATTTTAAGGAGGGAAATAATTGGGTAAACAGCTAATAGACAAAGTATGCCCTTTTTACTATATTCAATAACAAACATTCTCACTTGTAAGTAAAAAAACTAATTATCATATGTAAGATATACCTAATGACCATCATTGTAGCTTTCCCTGTTGATGTCTATGAAAATACGCGAAATATATTGGATATAGTAAAAAGAGTATACTTTGTCTATCAGCTGTTTACCCAATTATTTCTCTACTTTGTATAAAATAAACAAAGCTGTAGGTACGCGAAAAATGGGGATTGTATAACAAATAACAAAAGGTAGAAAAAATAATATAAATTTGTAAAAATATCTGAAATCTTTTTCGGCGTACACTTCTAGCAATATTTTTAGAGATTTAAGAAATAAAGGGAAAATGTTAAAGGAGCTTTAAAATAAGTGTAAACGAATCAGTCTAAATAGTTTACATAATATGGTCCATAAACTTCAATCGAATTTTATTTTTCATTTTTCCAGAAAGAATACACCAGACCACGGGAAAGATGCAAACCTAAGGCACAGACAGTGAAGAACTAGACAAGAGGTAAAAAAGCAGTACAGCATAATAAAATAGAATATAAAGTTAAGAACTATATAGAAGTTAAACAGTTATATTCGTCATGTGTAGTTGGGACTATTCGCCTCAACAACATTTCGCTCGAAGGTGTTTGGAGGTACTGTACAAAAAAACTAAAATTTAGGTTAGGTTTAAATTGTTAAAAAGCCTTCCCACTGGTTTGCCTTAGATAACAGCCTTTTTATTGTAGGTTAAATATGCATGTTGTTTTCTATTTTTGAAGAAGTTTTCCGTTACTTATAATTTTTAGTACTTAAAATATGTAGATATTGTAAAATCATTGTTATGCAACTAAATGGGCTGATATTTAACGTGAACGAAATGTCATACCATTGTATATATTTATAACATAAGAATAAAGAGAAAATGTACACTCCTGTTCATACATTATTGCATTGTTAAAAAAATTAAGTTTTTATTTGTGGACTGTTTTTTTCATTTATATGTCATCGTTTTTTCGATTTTTGTGATAATGGATACAAATGAAAAAGTACTTCATATGATCCACGAATCTTTCTGGAAACGTACTCGGTTCATTCGATAAATAAGAATAGAATATATATTGCACTCTATGTCTTTCTGATCGGTACTTGTAGATTTCAGCTAAATAGAGCTGCCTCAATTTCACTACTCAGCGCTTCTCTTTTTGTCCAGTGTTATATGGCAACCACAACATTTTGTGGCAAAATTCCAAAGTTTAAGGTTATTTGAGAGCAATTAGAGACTGTCTCGACCAACACAAATTTTTAAAATTCTAGAATTTAAAAAAGTTCATAAACAAAGAACTTAGATTGTCAATAAAAATCCTTAAAACAATCATTGGAGCTTTTTTAAACTTGAATGTGGTGGTATTATAAGCGATTACATATAACAACACATTGTGCATCAAGTATACTTTAAAGATAAAGTTGTATTAAAGTTTTTGAAGGAAATTAAGAAATTATTTACTTGCCGAATGCTTCTTCAAGCAGCTATAGTATTTATTATTTTAAATATAGTCAAAATTCATTACCTATAATCGCCTAATAGATATTTTGCATCAAACATTGGTGCACATAACAAAGCAAGATTTTACCAAACCGATTTTAGTTGGAAACATTCATTAAAGCTGCTTAAGCGATGGAATGAAATAGATTTACTTTGAATTTATTTTGTATTCTAAATTCTTAGAAATAAGAATTTGTCTATAAACAAAATTGTCAATAACTATTTTCATTTCTTCAAAAGCGTGTACATTTTATATGATTAATGTAGATAACTACTTTTAGGAACTAGTGATAAAACAAACATAATTATATATACAACCAAAGACCTATTCATTACTTAAACAGTTACAAGAAAATTCGTGGAGTAGCCGTGAATTTGATACATAAGATAATACAGTAGACTCCCTCTATAACGAGAACTGAAATGGCAGACTAATTACCTCGTTATAAGCCGATCTCGTTATATAAAAAAAAAAAACAATAATACTGTGCATACAGTATAGTGAAGCCATTCGGAGCAATATAAGATGCTAAATATTGTTTGAATGGAGTTTTTGAAAAAGTTTTTTTACTTCTATTGTCAATGAAATACATTAATACAAAAAAGAGTACTTTTATTGTCAATGAAATACGTTAAAACAAAAAATCTGTATTCTGTAAATCTGTATAAAGCGTATTTCCAAGGATAACATAAACTATTGCTTCTGCATTTAAAAGTAGTCTGTAATTTTTGACTGCTTTAAATTGTCCAGTATTCTATCTATCATATTTTCTAAAGAAGTGAAACAGTTGTATGCTTCTTCATTTCAGTTTTGTCTTTGGATAAAGTGCCTTCTTATTATTAGGTGCGAATAGTCAACCCCCTACAATGACATTTGTGAATCATAAATTGTAAATTTCCGAAGAAGTTTATTGCGGGAGGCAATTAAAAAGGGTATTTATTTATAGCCCCGGTAGTAAAAAACATGTTTATCGATCTTATTTTCTCTCGTTATAACCAAATTTTACCTCGCTATAGAGGGTTATAATTTAAAAGAAATTTCACAGGACATCTAATGTACCTCATTATAAGCGAAACCTCGTAATAACCGTGTTCGTTATAGAGGGAGTATACTGTAATTTCTATTCCCTGTTCATTTTAAGCTTTTATATCTTTACAAAAGGTGTTAGTGGGGGATAAGGTTTTCTTTGCTCCTTTGAGTACTACGAGGAAAAGACGTTCGTTGTCTTTACAATTTTTAGTTCTTATTAGTGAAGTCCGAACCTCTCCAAAATTGTGTTACACATATATTTGTGTCTGTCTGATCGATGATTCTCAATCTTTAGTTTGCACACCGGTCAGATAGTGTGTGTGGTGCAGTTTATACATATAGATGTCATCCTTATGTTTGCTCGCCTATTTCCTACACCTTTTTCTGTCAGTCGTAAAACTTTATAAACAAGCGGTGAATAACTGAAACAGTTTTCAATACAGAATTTATAAAGCTATCCAATCCCTATCAAATTTTAAATACAGGTAGTTTTAACAAAATATACATGTATTATGTATACTTTACTAGGTTGTCTCAATTTTTGTTGAAGAAATTTCTTTCAGAATAACTTCAAAAATTTTGTTTAAAATTTTTCTGTTCAACTTTTGCACGAACTCTAAGGTGAGGAATTCTGAGAGTTGGGTTATTTTAAAAAATGATGAAAAATACTTCAGTTGGACATACCTCAAATCTACTTGTCAAATGTTCGGACCAAATATTTTTTTAAGCAGTCACTATTCCACCATTTCATCGTATACAAAAAAATTCAAATAATTTCCATCGTTGTAGTAGTGTGTCTGAGAGTTGGATTATTGCAAAAAATGACGAAAAATACTTCAATTGGACATACCCCAAATCGACTTGTCAAACGTTTGGTCAAACTAATTTTTAAGCAGTCACTATTCCACCATTTTATCGTATACAAAAAAATTCAAAATAATTTCCATCGTTGTAGAAATTAAATATTCAGATGGACATTCCAAGAATTGACAATAAAAGGATTTCTAATCAGTATTTTATAGTTTGAAGTCTCAATGGTTATATAGTCAACAACTATTAGTATGTTCGTTCCACTACCACCTCTTTTTCAGAACAATTGCGCTCTGTAGATCACTGGTGCATGGAATTTTAATTCAACATATTCACTTACTGATTCTTTTACAGCGTACTCCCGTTGTTTACCAATCAGAAGATCGATAATGTTGTCATAGCTTGTAACCAAATACGATCAAAGCAACAGTAACATGATGCAGTAGTGTTCATGTGCTTTAAATGAAACAAACTTTTTTAAAGAAACAAATAGTCTTAACATATACTTGTTTTAAATATTCCAAAAAATATTTAGCTTTTTAACATTCCCATCAATATTTTCTTCATTTAATTCCGCCTAACGGAATTTTAAAGATGTATTCAAAACTGTTTGTTATCACATACAGGAGTAGTAGTAAATCATCCAGAACAAATTATTAACCAAGACGATCTTATTGGTGGAAAAAAATTATCTAATGTTTTTATTTTAAGGCTAATTTGCAGTTTTAAAAAAATATGTACGTGGAAAATCCATTCTCTTTAATGTAGATGTATATTATATGAGGCCTTTATCATTATATAATATTAACAGTCCTGTTCACACCTCATCTGGGTGTTAGTTTTCGCATTACTTTTCGTTCATACACCTTTGCATATATATATTATTTTGTGAATATTTCTTTTTATTTTGTTTATTTCACTGTTACTATATAATTTTAGTTTATGTCAATATTATTTAATAAATTTTTTAAAATTATTTTTTGTTTTTTTATCTGTCCCTCATCTCCTTATTATTTATTTTGTTTAAAACAATGTTACAGAACATTCCTAAAAAAGAGTATCAAGATGATGAAATATAATAAAGATTGTCTTACCAAAGGAAGAAAGTGAATCGATATTTTTCTATTTTCTAAATACATAATGCTGTCAAAGAATTACAAGAATAATGTAAGTTCAAATTAAAAACTTCTTTTTCAAGGTCTTTTTCCATTTTTTCTATTTTATATTTTTTAGTCAATGATTCAGCTATACGTATTTCTGTCGGATATTACTGGTTGATTGGTCTGCGAGATGTTGCATTTGGTTTTATTGTAAGCCTTGCATTTTTAATAGACCGATCAAAGAATACTATGACACCAAAAAAGTATAAATCGAGGAGGAAAATTTGGAAATATGTGCCTCCATTTTGGGGTTGACTTTTCATATATTGGACTGTTTTCGTAAAAGAATGAAAAAAAAATAAATGTTTTTGTTTAATTATCATCCATAAAAACTATTAAGTACCTTAAAAATTTGTCCAAATTTTTTTACAGCCTCAGTAGTTTTTGAGATACAGTCCTTTTTGTAACTGCTTATTTGGGTTACCTGTTGGATGCGCGCGCACATAAAAAATAACCAACAACCCACAATAACCAACTCTAAAACCCACTAAATTTCATTTGCATGTCTCAACTAATGTCAGGGCAATAAATAAATCGTTAGTTTGTAAGAAACATTTTAACACTTCGTATCTTGGAAAATGAAGCATTTGTGGCATACGTTTATATAGCAAACTGTCATGATTCTCGTGCAGGATCACTTCCTGAAGTTATTGTGGCATACGTTTATATAGCAAACTGTCATGATTTTCATGCAGGATCACTTCCTGAAGTTAGTTATTATTCAAAAGGACTAAAAAGCGACACTTTAAACCTCTGCAATTTATTTCTAAGTCTTGGGGCAATGAGAACTTTTGATCAGCATGATCAAAGCTACCTCTCTGCAACGTTTCAGTTTTACTAAAACAATTTTTAAGTAAGAAAAGTGCCAGGGTCCTTTTTCGACTTAGGTATAAAAGATAATGTTTTTGAAGAATTACTGATGTCTGGCGCTGACAACAGAAAGCTAATCGAGGAGCTAAAAGTCGATATTGTGATAGGGCAACCTATCGATGCAACAGCTACGAGATATAGCTTTAACAATAAGTTCACAATTAAGATACCAGGCAGGGAAGACTGGAATAAAGGTGTACCCATACAAACTGCTGCTACCTGGTACACGGATAGCTCAAAAACATTGGAAGGTGTGGGAGCCGGCATAGTAGGGACAAATCAAGGGATACATTTCCCGGTAAGTCTATCTAAAGATGTGATAGTTTTCCAAGCGGAAATAACGGCAATCCATCACTGCGTGTAAGAAATAGAAAGGCAGGAAAGAACGTTCTGTTCAGTTGAAATCTTCACAGATAGTCAGGCAGCGCTTAAGGCACTCAATTCTGTAAAGGTCAATTCTAAGCTAGTATGGGATTGTGTGTGACCCCTAAATAAACTAGGAGGCCGTAGCAAGGTTACAGTAGCCTGGGTACCGGGGCACGAGGGTCATAAGCGCAATGAAAAAGCAGATGAAACGGACAAACAAGGCTCATCAATGCCATTCATTGGAGCGGTGTTGCAAAGTCAGTTGAATTCACCAGGACAAAGACAAGTGAAACAGTTCATTACAAAACATTCGGCAAAATTTACGGCAGACCTAATAAGCAAAGACAGGAAAACTATCAAAGCCATAGTAGGTCTTCTAACAGGGCACTGTAAGCTGAACAGGCACTTGAAGCTGATGGGATTATCAGGTGATGACCTGTGCAGATTCTGTCACCTCGAATAAGAAACAGCAGAGAACATTTTATATAAATGTGACAGTCTAGCAAATGTGCGGTTCTTTGCATTAGGAAAATAAAATCTACCGTCACATAGTTACATGGAAGGTACAGTCTAGAAGCTATTAGACTTTGTAAAAAGGGTCACGCTAGAGAATGTTATATAGTATAGGATTAGAGGACCACAATAGATCTGAAAAGGTCGCAGTGGAATAGGCCAAAAGGCCACCTCTCTAAATCTATCTTATCACGAAAGCACAGCCTTGTCTACTAAATAAAGGTGTGAGCTTAATTGACTGTGGAACGTGATAAAAATACGTATGTCCAAGTTAGCCGTTATACATGAAGTATTATTGATAGGTCAAAACAATCTATAGCCATCGCCAAATTCTAATACACGCAATCAACGTGAATGTGGTAAAGTTGTTTTCACTTTTTATCGATCAGGTGGATATTCCACAACTGTACCCAAAATACAAAATGTGTTGTATGTGTAAAGAACAGCGACATTAATGACTTTACATAGATTACTTTTACATTTGCGAAAGCAACAATTATTAAATCATGGCATATATTTTTTATAACAAGTAGGTATGTCCCCAAAAGGCAGTTGTTTAAATTTAAGGCAAGTTACATCTAAATAGAATCATGAAATTCTATTAAATATGTCAAGGGAATACTGTCGTAACTGAAAACGAATCAGGATTAAAGTTTTATAAGATTGAATAACAAGTAAAAACTTAAATGCGTTCGCGTGGTGTAATATCTTTTAAAATATTTTCTTCTAGGCGAAGGAAAAGCCACTGTTAACAGAAAAACAAAAGCAAGCCATGTTTACTTGTGCAATATCTAAACTTTGGTTGGTAGAAGATTGGTCCCAAGTATTTTTTAGTAAAGAATCAAAATTCGACATGTGTGTTGATGATTACCGCAAACGAGTTATTCGCACTAGGCATGAGACTTTTCACAAAGACAGTTTGGAACGGACCGTAAAATTTCGTAAATAGGTATGATTTGTGGTTGTATGGCAGTTTTCAGGGTTAAAATATTTTTAATTTATTCAGAATACCTTAAATGCTGCGAAATATCAACAAATACCTCAAAATAGTTTACTAACAAATATTTATGCTGACAGGAATGCTGAAATCAATTGCTGGTAGGAATTCTATTTTTTAGCGGGACTAAGAGGCCTGCCATATGACCAGAATCACAAACAACTGGTTTGAAAACCACAATATAAATGTCCTCTCTTGGCCTTCTAACAGTCTTGACCTAAATGTCACTGAAACACTATAGCATAAAATGAAACACACTGAAGAATATCCCACAATGGACATACACGAACTTTAAGCCAAAATAGAGTACATCTGAACAGTGCAGGCCCATAGTAGAGTAAATGCTCAACCAAATTCGACCGACCATAAAGTCTAAGGTGGCGCTTCTCCGTTTTAAAAATAATTATTCGTTCTATGTCCCAATATTTAGTTGCCACCAAAATTCTTTACTAATTAGTTATGTTAGAGTAAGTATATTTTGTAAGTAACAGCAAGTAAGTTGTTTTGTGTTGCTGATTGCACCTATATTAGTAATTAACTAATTGCGTAGTAATACGTAAAAAAACATGATTAAAAAAATAAACTGTCAACTATCTAAATTTTGCGTGAATTTTAGTTTGTCCCATTATGTATATATATATATATATATATATATATATATATATATATATATATATATATATAAATTGAAATTGCAGTTATATTTGTGCCTTCCTGGAAAGGAGTGGCGGTCGTAGCTCACAAGCTATGTTACTGCTTAATAAACTGTAGGATCCGGGGATTCCTGGGACTGACACCAAGAAATTTCTTAATTTCTAATTTAACTATTAGTAGTTAGTAAGTGTTCGTTTAGTCATATTAGGGTCGCTTGCGCAACCTGAAAATCCTAACAGTAGACCTAAACCAGAAGGTTACATGAACATTTTTTTAGTGGAAAGGAACTCTTATATCCTATATTTTATCTGCCTAGGAATATACAAGGTATAAAAAATTTGGATAAGTAATATTTATTAAGCTCGTTATATATGTTTTACATAAATTACGGGATATAGATAAAATTTAATTTAAACAGGCTCTTTTATTTGATTTAAGTGTATTATCTTTTGACAAAATTGTACAACAGAAAACGATTTGTTCTGCCTCATTATCCAATGTGTGGTCTTTTACTCCTAGTTTTTTTTTTGCATATTCGTAGTGTAGTAGCAAAATCACTAATTACAGACAGAAATGTTCTTATACTAATGCTGTGAAGCGAACGTACGAGATTCATCGAATGACTGACGGTCGCCTCCATCATTTTCTTTTCACTGATCGTTTAGTAGACCTTCACTATTCAACTCTATTATCGTATCGTATATTGTATAAGTCGATTGAATTACGGATCATGAATATTCCCGTATATATATATATTCCATTTCGACCAGTAAAATCTTTAAAAACCTGCTTTGATAAATCGGTAGCATTTGAAGTGAAGAAAATAAGTAACCGAAATAATTAGATCTAATTTACTTATTAGTGAGTATGTATAGGTAAAGGGTAAAATGTATTATTAGTGTAAGAAATAATTAAAAAAAAAACAAAACGTCTTATTTACTGCTGACATTGATGATATGAAATGAATATTCATACGTAACATTTTTAATATGGATAGCATAAAAATTGTGTTGGTTGCAGACAAAAATAGCTTCACATCTCTGCTTAACCAAAAAGTATGTTTTAAAAGTGTATATTACAATGAAAATTAATTAAATAGCTCTTATTACAAATTTAGTAGTGGTGTCACTACAGAACCCAGAATTGCATTTTATAGACTCATTGGAAGATGTACTGTATCATTTTTATAGTAATATCAAGTTAGTAGAATGTCTAAAATAAGCAAATAACTGTAATTGTATTTTCAGATTACTCATGAGAATTTCATTTTTAGTTATAAAATGATGAAAAAATTCACATAAATTGGACAAAGACTAATTTTAGCAAAATATTTATCCCATTTTCACGTCTCAAAGTATCTACGAGAATTTTACCTTACTTGTAAACTAAATTAAAGGATACTATTTAAT